TTTTTTTTTTTTAAGTTTTTTTTTTTTAACGTTTATTTCTTTTTGAGAGACAGAGAGAGTGCGAGCAGGGAAGGGGCAGAGAGAGAGGGAGACACAGAATCCGAAGTAGCCTCCAGGCTCTGAGCTGTCAGCACAGAGCCTGACGTGGGCTCGAACTCACAAACTCCAAGATCATGACCTGAGCTGAAGTTGGACGCTTAACTGACTGAGCCACCCAGGCGCCCCTATAGTTACTGTATTTGGTACAAATTTTAGACCAATTCATTTCTTTTGAATAAATTCCTAAGAATGAAATGGTTGGGTCATCTGGTAGATGTTAAACTTTTAAAGAAACTATGGAAGGGAAGGAAAAATAAGATACAAACAGGGAAGCAAACCATAAGAGACTCTTAAATACACAGAACAAACTGAGGGCTGATGGGGGTGGGGGTTGGGGGCGGGGAAAATGGGTGATGGACATTGAGGAGGGCACTTGTTGGGATGAGCACTGGGTGTTGTATGTAAGTGATGAATCATGGGAATCTACTCCTGAAGCCAAGACTACACTGTATATTAGCTAACTTGACAATAAGTAAAATAAAAGCAAGAGAAAGAGATGCAATCCTATACTCCCTCCCCCCCCCAAAAAAAAACAAAAGAAAAGAAAAAGGAACTGCTTAAAATGTTTTCCATTTTGGAAATGTTAAGTTTGCATTCTAGTTTTTTAAATGTTTTAACTTATTTCTTTTGAGAGAGAGAGAGAGAGAGTGAGTGCACATGCGAGTGGGAAGGAGGGACAGAGAGAGAAGAGAGAGAGAATCCCAAGCAGGCTCCCTGCTATCCATGCTCCATCTCATGAACTGCAAGATCATGACCTGAGCTGAAATCAAGAGTCAGAGGCTTAACCGACTGAGCCACCGGTGTACCTACATTCTATTTTTCTTGAGTGAGCTTTGGTAGTGTGTCTTTTAAGAAATTTGTCCATTTCATCTAAGTTGTTGAATTTTTGGTATATGATATTCTCTTATTATCCTTTTAATATCTGTAGAACCTATAGTGATGTTCCCTCTGTTTATTATTGGTAAGTTGTGCCTTTTCTCCTGATCAATCAGGCTAGAGGTGTCACTGATCTCCACAAACCATCTTTTGGTTTCATTACTTTTACACCATTCTGCTTTCTTTCTCTTTATTTCCTTTCTTTTTTATAATTAAAAAAATTTTTTAAGTTCTTTGAGAGAGTGTGTGTGCACATGTGATCTGGGAAAGGGCAAAGAGAGGGAGAGAGATGCTCAGCTCGATCTCATGACCGTGAGGTCATGACCTGAGCCAAAATCAAGAGTTGGACGCTCACCTTATTTCTCATCTCTCAGGGACTAATCCTTCATTGCCTGATGCACAATGTCTTGAAAACGGAAAGCTATTCTTTCATATAGCTTGTCTTTTTTTTTTTTTTTCCAGTTGTTTTTAGCAGGAGTTTAAACTCAGTCACTATTACTTCATCTTGGCTGGAAGCTGCAGATGATTTGGAACATTTGGAGAGTTTGTTAAAACTACACACATCTTGGGCCATACTCCAATCTCATTGATTTACTGGTTATAGCAGTGAGGCTAGGGTATATGATTTTGCAATTGTATGTTAAAAGTAGGCCAGGCATTAGATAGACAAAGTTAAATTAGACATAATACTTGTTTACAAAAGCATTTTTGTTAACAGAAGCATTTATAATCCAATGCAAAAGATTAGTTCTTATGGCATAATGTCTTAAGTATAATGTCCATAAATAGTGTGCTATGGAGCATCTCTATGAAGAAAGGTATCCAAATGTAGTCCTCTGGCAGCCAAGGGAGGGTTAGCAAATGCTTCCTGGAAGAAATGAAGGAGTGAATTTGGAAAGATGGGCTGGAGTTCATTGAATTAGTGGAAATAAGGGGAAAGGGGACCAGGAGGCAAGGACAGACCAAGTGGAGAAAAAATATCGTTATAAAGGCCCAGCGGTGCAAGGTTGCAAATGCATAATGTAGAATGGTTGAATCAAAGTGGGAGAAGAGGTGATCCCCATTGTTGCCATCCATAAGAAGAAATTCCTTTATCTCGGATGTTTTTCTGACTTTCTGTGTGGGGGCAGGAAGCAAAAGGGAATATTCTTTTTCCCCACAGTTACCTGATTTACATTCTTTATTTACCCTTTCCCACAGCTCCAGGTTTGATTCAGCATTACCTAAAACCACCATCCACCATTTATCAACAGTGGTATCAGGGTTTACTAATCATTGATTCTTCCTCTTTCATGCACTCAAGTCACTGTTGATTTCTCAGATTGTCACACTTTACAGATCAAACATAGACTTCCCCTCATCAGCCCCTATCATTTGTGTTTCTTGTAGATTAATTCCACAAGGAGCCCCAAACGATTGCATTCTGAACGCTGTTTAATGTTAGTTATCTTTTTTTTTGTACTTGGATTAAAAAGTACAAGAATACCTTTAATTAATTATCTCCTTAGAGTTTTTACAGTCTTTCCAATGAACAAGTCAGAAAACTATGAAACAATTACACAAAAGCCACGTCACAAGAGTTGTTGAACAAAGAATTTGGCCCCATTTGATTGCAACTCACTCAAAATTCTTTTGGCTTTTGTGGCCACGGTAAGCAGAAGGAGTGGGGGTAAAAAGACTTGTAGAGTGGATGTTTGCCACTATAAATGGGGACAGCCCCTATTTGAGCCCTCCTCTTCCTCTTAGGGAATGCCCTACCTTATGTAACTTAAATACGGCAAACAGCCTTCTCCCATAATGAACTGAAAATGTAGAAAGCCCACTCTCCTAGTTCTTGACAGCTGGAGCACAGGCATATGATCGGGGGTCAGCTAATCCAAGTAATCCACCTGGAAGTTTACCTTGGAGACAGGCAAGATTGGGAAGATTCTTCCCGGTGGGGAAGAGAGATGGGAGTGGGGGTAGCAGCATCATTTCTCAGTAGCAGTGGGGCCAGTGATGGCACACAATTTCTGGTTCAGTGGTGGAGACTGGGGCATGCGTGTTCTGTGGTGACACCGGATGGAAGTGTGATTTAGCCTGTGCTTCTGGCTGTGGAGGCTTACTTTTACTCTTGCCATTTCCAAATCTGGGAGAATAACTCATTTCAGTTAAGATGGGTAGAGTAGTGATATTTGATGTGATATTAGACGGGTCCAATTTTCCCTTGGAGCTGGAAGTATGTCTGTTTAACGCATTCATTTATTTGCTCATCACAGGTTTATTAAACATCATAAACATAAAAAAAGCCTGTTTTACATCAGGCTACATGCTGGGTGCTACAGATCTAGACATTTTTAAGGCTATAATTTGATAGTATTTTAAAAATTATTGTTTCAATAATTATTGTTTGTTAAACAATTGCGAAACATATTTCGCTCACTATAAAACCTCATTCTGAACACTAATTTCAGAAAAACAATCAGTGACTGCTTTGGGAGGAGAGGAAATTTTGTTTTAGCTGAGGGCAGTGCATATTAAACATAAGTGAGCACTCAGCACTAAATACCAAGCACTGTTGTAAGCACTTTTTATAAATTAACTCATTCGATCTTCATGGAAATCTTAGTACTGTTACTTTTTACTTGTTTTAACCATAAGATACTCTTTTTAAAAATTTTTTTTAATGTTTATTTTTGAGAGAGAGAAAGCACAAGTGCGGGGAGAGGTAGAGAGAGAGGGAGACACAGCATCCGAAGCAGGCTCTGGGCTCTGAGCTGTCAGCACAGAGCTCCATGCGGGGCTCAAACTCACGAACCGTGAGATAATGACCTCATCCAAAGTCGGATGCTTAACCGACTGAGCCACCTTGGTGCCCCATGTAAGATACTCTTGACAGTGGTCTTTCCACGTGTTTAACAGCTACTAATCATACACTACCACAAAAAAAATAAAGAAAATTTCAGAGTCCTTGAGAAATAGAGGTGGGGTCTCTGAGATTGCTGAGGGAGGTAGAAGTAATAATTTTCTGCCAAATGGAAGTTTTTCAAACTGCCAAAGCATTTTTCTAGGGAAATGAGTCAAAAGGCAGACATGATAATATATCCCCAAACTAGTGGATATAGCAGTGAACTCAAGTCTCTTTGAACTGCATCTACCAACATCAATAGCAATATCTTCCTAAAAGTAGCCTTGAAACAACGTCATTAGGCCATCCCAAGTGTAGTTGAAAAAGAAATGGTACCAGAAAACCAAAGAGTAAACACATGCACAATTTATCATTTCGCCCTTATGAGATCAGCAAATATCTGTAACAAAATTTCCCCAAAGCGGCCAACAGAGACAAGGTGACCGTCTCTGTTCTGAACATCTGAAAGGAAAATTACCACTTGTCTTCCTAGACTTCCTCCCACACTCATTGGAGAACCTGGGAAACATGGATGTCACTGGCCACACTACTACATTCTATGAGCTGCAGACAGACAAGGCCTCTCTCCTCAGGCCTCTGGATTCACAGGAACAATGACTTTGAAAACTTCAGTGCTCCCTCTGCCTTGTACATGTTAATTTTCTCCCATAGTCTATGCTGAGACCAATGTAGACAGGATCCTAGTTGGATAATGAGTATTCCAGATTACAAATCTTCTGATTTTTCAGTCTACTTCTTCATGTGATATCCCAAGCACTTTTTCCTGGAGGGGAAAAAGAGAAATAGATTCACAAAATTCCAAGTTTGATTCACTGTTGAACTGAAAACATAAACCTGTTAACTCTGCTCTCTTGTCCCAGGCATGACCCGGGTTTCAGAGACTATGTTAGGGTTGGGGGGAGGTTTGGAAAGATGACCAGCAGCCTTGGTATTCAGGAAAGGAAAACATATGTGAAGGACTTAGGTTACACACCCAGGGCTGATAGGCTAGATGGGGAAAGGCTTTGATGCTGTATTTAAAATTCAGAAGAGTTAAAAAAAAATTCAAAGGAGCAGATATTGGAAAGTTGAAGATTATGGAAAGTTGAAGATTATGCTCTTTGCAAAGTTCTGTGAAATGGATGAAGTTGTAGGAGCACAGGGTGACTATTTGAACAGTCCTTTACAATGAGGAAAAATGCCCAACGGGTGAATTAAAATCTCATGGCAGCTAGTTTAGCATGCTTTTTATTTTTATTTTTATTTTTTTTAAGTTTGTTTATTTTTGAGAGAGTATGCACGTGGGGGAGGAGCAGAGGTAGAGGTAGAGATAGAGATAGAAGTAGAGAGATAGAATCCCAAGCATGGTGCCCAACTCTGGGGTCAAACCCATGAACTGTGAGATCATGACCTGAGCCAAAACCAAGAGTCGGACACTTAACCCACTGAGCCACCCAGGCGCCCCTAACATGTTTTTTAGATACTGTTGTTATTCTTTCATTTGATTGATTGATTGATTATGCTAAGAGTATTGGCTTAACATCTATGATGTATGTAGAAAGAATGGGAGTGTTGAGAGACAAAGAAGCATAAAATACATAAATCTGCCCTCGTGTTTGCAATTTCGTTGGGAAGTTAGATGTACTTGCAGGAAATGTGAAACACTGGGATAGTTAGGAACCCTGGAAAACTGGTGCATAGGAATCATTTTCCTCCTTCCCTACCACTATAAGGACACCCTGGAGTGCCACCAAAATACCAAGAGCCAATGGAAGTCCCTAGAAGCTTGCCACCCAGTGTCATCTTTCTTTCTTGTGCTTGGAGACTGAGCACAGGTGTCCACATCTCCTTCACATTTTCATAACTCATATCAACTCATAAATATTCTTTTATCAACATCCTCCTTCTTTATTTTTTGCAACTCCTCTATCAGCCTTGGAAACATTATAGTCCTTTCTCATTCTTTTTCTTCCCTCTTCCAATTTCCAGCCACATGCTCCAAATTAAACCTAACTGTGGCCAAGACTTAAAATTCGGATTTATGATGACCTGGAAAAGTAAACTAATAAATTACAAATGATAAGGAACAATGCCATCAAATTCTGAAGCCTTTGAAAATTCCCTTTATTATTTCTACCAAAAATCCATCAATCTTCTCTAATTAAAACTGTTTTTCTCTCTAGCACCAGCAGCCAAATTAAAAATAAGTAAATAAAAATGTATTCTTTTTTCTTTTGTCTTTTAATTTGCTTGCTAGAATTAGAACCACCATTTTTTCATAGCAGATTTGTTGAAATATATCACAGAGTTCATCCTTTTCAAATATATAATTCAGTGGGTTTTAGTATATTCACAGAATTGTGCAACCATCACGTTTGGCTGATTTTAGGACATTTCCATCACACAAAAAGAAACTCTTTATCCATTAGCAGTCACTCCCTATTCTCTCTCTTCTTCTCTAATCTGTCTCTGTGAATTCACCTATTCTGGACATTTCATGAAAATAGAATCATACAATGTATGGTATATGGCCCTATTGTCTAACTTTCACTTAGCATAATGTTTTCAAGGTTCATCCATCTGTTCCATTCCTTTTTATGCCTAAATAATATTCCACTGTATGGACATACTGCCTTTGGTTTTGCTATTCACCATTCATCACTGATGAACATTTGGGTTGTTTCCACTTTCAGGCTATTATGCATAAAATGAATGCTGCTATGGTCATTTATGTACAAGTTTTTATGTGAACATTTGTTATCAATTTTCTTGGGTATATATCTGAGTGGAATTGGTGACTCTATGTTTAATATTTTGGGGGGATTGCCAAATTGTTTCTAAAAGGGAAAATTTTAGAACTCAACCAGCAGTGGATGAGGGTTCACATTTCTCCACATCCTCACCAACATCTGTCTTTTTTATTTTAGCCATGCTAGTGCATGTGAAATGATATCTTACTGTGGTTTTGATTCACATGTGCCTAATGTTGAAATGAAGATGTTAAGCAAGCATCTTTTCATTGCTTACTGGCCATCTGTATATCTTCTATGGAGAAATGTCTATTCAAAATTGGCTTTTGTCTTTTTATTGTTGAGTTGTAAGAATTTATTACATATTCTGAATACAAGTTCTTTTTCAGATATATAATTTGAACATATTTTGTTTCATTCTGTGTGTTGTCTTTTCATTTTATTGGTAGTGTCCTCTGAAGCAGAAAAAAATTACTTATTTTTTAAATTTGTCTTTCTTAAGATTTTTATTTGCTAAATACTCTCTACACCCAACTTGGGACTCAAACTCACAACCCCAAGATCAAGAGTCACATGCTCCACCGACTGAGCCGGCCAGGTGCCCCTCAAGCAGAAAAAATTTTAATTTGATGTAATCCAATTTATTTTTTCTTTTGTTGTTTGTGCTTTCGGTGTAGACTATTTTTTTTGCAGAACACAGTTGGCATTTCAGCTGCATTAACCAACTACATAGACTTTTAGTCTATAGACTGAATAGAACTGGCCTGTGGACCCAGTTGATACTTAACAATCTTTTTGGAAAAATATATTACCAAGACCAAATTATATTTTGGAAAATATATTTTGGAAAAATATATTAACCTTAAGCAGGATGATTCTTTCCTGTATGTAATTATAGTGCAGATATGAAGTGTTGTAAGAAGTCAGAGGCTAGTGAGGCCCTTAAGCTAGAGTAGTCAGGAAAGGCTCTGGGACAGAGGAGGGACTTGAGGGGGTCCTGGAAGAAAGAACAGTTAAAGCCAAAATAATGTCGAGGCATCTTAGCATGAGTTAAGGCAGCTTGAATTTAGAATACTTCAGAGCCTCAGTTGTTCAGATCAGCCCCTTACGGCTACCATATCTGGTGCAGATGTGGAAAATAGAAAGGAACAGAAGACTAGGTAAGCTTAACAGGCAGCCACTGAAGACCACAGCGGGCACTTCAGTCCCTTAGCAAGATCAGCTCTGCATTCCTTCTGGAAACCAAGAGACCAAGAGTGGAGGCCTCAGGGCCATGCTGACCATGTGTGGAGCAGACTCAAACCCACTACCCTTGCTCCATTCTAGTGGAAGGAGGACTAAAGATAATGTGGGACAAAGGCCTGTGCTTCCAAGAAGGATCTGAACAGACAAAATAAAGTGCCCTGAGCCTATGGATATTTAAAACTATGGGCTACACATTTTGGAAAGGTTAACCTTGGGAGGCCATCTGAGTATGGCAGCTTTAAGGAAATCTCAAGGAATGAGGATAAAGGATGGGGTTGGCGGGGGGCCAGGGGGAGGGATGTTGAGTCTGAGGCAGGGGGGTGAAGATGTCTGTTTTGCCTGATAGCAGGTAGTTAAAAACAGATACATATCAACAATAGCCAAATTATGGAAAGAGCCCGAATGTCCATGGGCATTGGATGAATGGATAAAGAAGATGTGGTATATATATACGATGGAGTATTACTTGGCAATCAAAAAGAATGAAATCTTGCCATTTGCAACTACATGGATGGCACTGGAGGGTATTATGCTAAGTGAAATTAGTCAGTCAGAGAAAGACAAAAATCATATGACTTCACTCATATGAGGACTTTAAGAGACAAAATAGATGAACATAAGGGAAGGGAAACAAAAATAATATAAAAACAGGGAGGGGGACAAAACATAAGAGACTCTTAAATATGGAGAACAAACAGAGGGTTACTGGAGGGGTTGTGGGAGGGGGGATGGGCTAAATGGGTAAGGGGCACTAAGGAGTCTACTCCTGAAATCATTGTTGCACTATATGCTAATTTGGATATAAATTTTAAAAATAAAAAAAATTTTAAAAAACATACAAATTTGGGGCACCTGGCTGGCTCAGTGGGGAGACCTTGTGACTCTTGATCTCGGGATTGTTGAGTTCAAGCCCCACGTGGGGTGTAGAGATGCTTAAAAAATAAACTTTATTTAAAATAAAACAAAACAAAACGATACAAATTTAATGGTTTGCTTTTTGCTTTGTATCAAAATGTCCCTGTCAAAATGGCTGGGTCCAAGCAGCAATGACAAAATATCATGAACGCTGTGTCTCTCTCTGCCTGTCAGCAGCTAAGAGAACAAGGAAGTGTTTGCCTCTCCTTGTCTCACTGCCAGACTTCGGTTGCTTACAAAATTTGTGAAAACAGAAATTATATCTAAACATTTTATATCTTGACATCTCTTCATTTCCTGTTATATCTGACTGGTCCCCCCTGGTCCAACACACATATCCCATGTACCCTTTGGGAGCCTAGTAAATATTTATCGATGATGAAGATAATCACTAAAAATAGGATCCCATCACTGGGATATATCTCTTGCCACTCAACTTCTAAATCCATGAGAACTGCCTCAAAGACGTGTTCCCTTCACTTAAAAAAAAAAAAAAAACAACGAAAAAATGAAAAAAACCCCACAACTTTCCATTCCGTCTCCTCTGAATTCTGGGAAGGTTCATTTTGAAATAGGATGCACTTACCCATCCACCGTGCTGCTGGACCCAGGGGGAGAAGTTGTCTTTTAGGTACTTGGTTCCAAAGCCCAGCACCCTGTTCATAGGGTGATTGTCGATAGCAGTGAGCTTGGCCGTGACGTCTATTGCAAGAGCAGCCTTAAAGCCCTGAGCTCTGACCTCTGATTCTCCCCTGGTGTCCACACCCCTTAGGAACTGGTCTGTGATGATCTTGAAAACAGGGTAGCACAGCTGGTCCTGGAAGCTGTTCATTAAAGCCTTGTCTTTCTTTAACTGTGTACAAGAGGATATGCATTTAGTACAGCAGCCTGGCCCCGTGAAACCGACTCAACAGTGGGCCCCTGAAACACCCAGTGGAAAACCCTGGCTCCAACTACGAAGTTTCTTAGTGAGCAAGGATTAAATGTTTATTTGGAAATTCTATCTTTGACGAATGATAAGCTAAGCAGGTTCTCAACAAACATTGTTTCTACAAGGGATATCCTGGGGGATGCATCAGATGCTATGTAAAGATTTCGGTGGAGCAGCGTCCTTTATGTGAGCCCAGCCCACCCCCCAACTTCTGTGAGACTCAGGAGCCTGTCTGTTTTATAAATCTGAAGCAAGAATGACTAATGTCCTCTACACCAAGAATGGACCCCTTTTGATCAGCGACCCAGTTGAAGAAGCTAGACTCAAAACCCCAGTGGGCAGCCAGAAGCCCGGACTCTACCAGAATGGTCGAAGAATCAAATGCCAGAAAGAAACACTTCCATGGAGTACCCTGGCCCCTCTCTCTTTGCTCCTTTGGGTTGCACCTGCCTCTGGCATCTCAGGAAGGTACAAGATGAGCTTGCATGTGGTCTCAGGGATGAGGGGCTTTGCAGACACTCTGCAGCCATGGGGTTGGGGGGTAGGGGTTAGGGTTAGGGTTAGACAGAGTCACTGTCCCTCTCTAGTAGAAACTCACACCCACACAGCAAAGTCAGACCTTCTGTGTATTCCTACCAGAGTCCTCTACTGGGGAGACAACCATGTTTTCTGCATAAATAACGTAAAACGTCACCCCAAATCATCAGGAGCGTGCATCAAGCAAAGCGAGATTTTTTAAAGTGGTAATTTATGGGATGAAAAGGAAAGCGTCTCTCTTTAGAGCCACAAAGGTCAGCTTCGTACCACTTCCTGTCCCTTGCCTCCCTGACCTAATGCAAGTCACTTCTTAGGGAGGCTGGGAAGGAGGTTGCCATGAGAGCCACAGCGTCTTCAAGCTGTAAAGAGTCCTCGAGGATTCGAATAGGTCCCTCCCAGTACAAGGACTGCACTGTTGGCTGGTTATTGGCATCTACTGGCCATTCTTCTGGTGACAGGAGGCTCATTCCGTCACAAGGCAGCCCTGAGTGCTAGAAAGTTCATTCCTAAAATGGAGAAAATCAATTGCCCCATAACTCCTATCCATTGATGTTAGTTCTGGAGAAACATAGGAGTGCCCTCAAGTCATGTACCGTATTCTATTTTCTTTCTCTGCACCCCAGTTCATCCTCTACTTGTGGACTCGAAGCTCACATGCCCTCCCAGTTACCATCCTCTGCACACACTGCTGACAAAGGCATTGAGGGAGGACCCACTGAGAAGTTGGGACTGGGGTAGAGTGGCTGGCCACTTAGTGCTGTTTCCCCTCCTGCACAAGCCGCATGGGGCCTGACTTCCATCCACTGATTGTGGCAGGACAAGGCAAGGGGTCCACAAGGCCAGTCCCTGACTGACAGACCCCAGAGGCTACTCAGCAGTCTGTGGGTAACGGCACAGAATTCTAGGGTCCTGCTCACCAGCTCTGTATCTGAAGACACTCTCACACTTTCCTGACGGGAATGATGGGTCTTGACTTCTAAATGGCAGGAAGTAAGTCCAAAGTTCTCCAAGTAACACTAATCCGCCTCCCCGGCCAAATAGCTGAGAGAGACCTTGAGCAGAGAACCGTCCAGCCACTCTCGGGGGAGATTTTGGGAAGGACTCCAGCCTTGGAGCAGGCGTGGGACATCGATATCCAGACTGCAGGGCAAATGCAAGAGTCTAAACTTCTCCGAGGATCAGTTACATGGGGAACCAGATTCATAATTCTATTCAGCAAATTTTAATTTATTGGTGTCTTTTCTTGCAATAACAAAGTTACATTTTTCATTTCCAAAAATTCCAGGGAGGCTCCAGAAGGTTTACTTATGTTTTCCAAAGTGATTCATTTTTGAGATGCTGCCAGCATGAAGAATTTGGACTCCAAGGGAAATAAAATTTAGGACTAAGTGGAAACCAGAACTTGCAAAGGAATACAATCTGCAGTACGCTTCCATTCTCTGTCCCAGTGCGTGGGCACAGAAAAGAAATCACATTAGTTCAAGAAGCTCCATACCTCTCTTTCCAACTGATCCCCTGAATATTTCAGCAGCTCGACGATTTGGGCTATTATTTGCTCCTCTCCATCTGTCGGGGGAAAATTCCAGTTATTTCTTTTAAGAAGAAAAATCATCTTAACTTTTTTTTTTTTTTTTTTTTTTTTTTTTTTTTTTTTTGCCCCCAGGGACAATACTTGTAGCCTGGTTAGGGACTGAGGGAGACATGTGCTTTGTAATTCTCAGCAACTTAACTCTTACCTTCCTTCGACTGATGGGGCACAAACCACTCCAGCTGCCCTCTCCTACAGACCCCTCCTTTCCTTTCTTCTTTTCTCCCTCAGCGCCCTGCTTCTCACCATGAAATGCATCACTTTATTCACTGTAAGAATGTTGTTGACGATATTGGTTCCACGACCCATGGTCCTGTCTCTGAAGATGTTTAGGAGAACCTTCTTTTTCGTTGGTAGGATTCTCCTGAGCAGATGTTGCTTTTCCCATATGGACACCATAAATTCCAATGGGTCATATTCCCCCTTTGTGCTGCTAGAAAGTACAGAGCCGAATTTGTGGGCCCCAGCTAAGAGGGGGTATGGTCTTCCTGGCTTGCATTTTGGGAATTAAGCTCATTCCTAAACCCACCTCTATTTCCCCGCTAGTGCATTCTTTTTACATTATCTTTCAAATTGATTTATTTGATTAATCTTATTTTTTTTTTCAACGTTTATTTATTTTTGGGACAGAGAGAGACAGAGCATGAACGGGGGAGGGGCAGAGAGAGAGGGAGACACAGAATCGGAAACAGGCTCCAGGCTCTGAGCCATCAGCCCAGAGCCCGACGCGGGGCTCGAACTCACGGACCTCGAGATCGTGACCTGGCTGAAGTCGGACGCTTAACCGACTGCGCCACCCAGGCGCCCCTGATTAATCTTATTTACTAACATGTATACTTTGCATGCTGTCTTTACAACAAAGTGAGGTATAAGTAAATACACTTACGGAGTGCTCCCACTCCAAAGGCTAACATGGCAGGTAGAGAGAGAGGCGGCTCCTGTTGGTGTGTACGTGGGAACAGGGGACGTGGAGTATGATTTTTCTTATCTCAAAACATGCTAACCACCCAACATGAGGAAAACGGTCATGGCTCCGGAACGGAATCCAGACAGAGAAAAGCCAGTTACTGATACAGGAGTGTTTTTCATTGAGGGCACAATCTTTGAAGTCATGGAGTCCTCATGTGTGTTCCAGATAAGAGGGAAGGAGAGGCCAGGAAATTAATCCAGCCCATCACCTCCCAGGAAGGCCTAGCGAAAGGCAAGGGAAGTGGGAGGTCTGAGCCTCAAATCACCTGGGAGGCACCAGCACGCGGGTCTCCGTGGCCCGTGTGTATGTAGTTTTTATCTGCCCCTGTGGCCCCTCTCTCTGGGAGTCACCGTAACAAGGGCCGGCATTTCTCACGTGCACAGAGGAGACGAGCATCGGCCTGAGGCTGGTTCAGGGGCAGCTCTCCACACACAGGGGATCACAATAAGGTGGAGGCACTTTTTAGCACACTCAGAGGGGCCTCTTCTCTTCCAGCCCCGGAAGGGGTAGTTTGCGGTCCCAGCAATGCGGCACGAGACAGACGACATCACCGCTCCGCTTGCAGGCCAGGCAGCCGCCGCCACTTGCGCCTTGTACTTGGGCTACTGCAATCTCCGGGCCGCCTCCCCTCCGTCCCACCCCTGGGCTGGAGTTTGGGGAAGGAGGGCCACGAGCAGGGACAGTCGTCAGTGACGGCAAGTGGGACTGAACTTCTCTTCCTGTGGCACGTGGTTGCGCTCCCGTTCAACTCCAGAATTCCTGCACATCTGCTGGGAACTCCTGGTCCTCGCTACGGCTGTGGCTTTGGTGACAGCTGA